TAAAATATCATGATAAATTTTACTTATAAAGCTAACAATACTAATTTAACCTCTAAATAGTCACTATATATTTGATTATCATATAGTTGTGATTATATAAAGGTACCCTTTTTACAGTTACATCTTTATATAATCACCAATTTTAGCAAAACCAATTGTGTGACTATATAGAGGTCTGACTGTATTTATTATCTATATAGAAAATTATTTGAAGATTGAATTAAAAATAAAAATTTTAATATGATTTTATTTTATATGTAAAATTTAAAATAATTAAAAGTAAATCCTAGATAACATTTAATTATAATGTTTTATATCAATTTTAAAATTAAAAATAAATTTTTTTAAAAAAAAATTTGTCACTTCCATAGCAAAATAAATTTTTTTTTAAATCAATCACTTTTGGCAAAACAAATTTAAAAAAATTTTAAAGAAAAATATTGTAACCGCAAAAATAATCTGTAGTTGTTATCAATATAGGTTTTGATAAGTTTATTTAGGGTCAAATTTTGGTGATTTTCAAAATTATAGGATTCAAAATTGAGCGTTCTTACCCTAGATCTCTAGTTCAGGGTGAAAATTATAGACCCCTAGGGTTTAGGCAAATTAACTTAGACCTTCCTTCTTTTTTAGTGATAGATTAGAATTTTTTTTTTCTTTAAAAACGAGATAAAAAATGAAACTAATTTAATAAATAAAATTAAAAATAAGAACGAACAGTTTTACTTAAAATTTCTGGATAATACTGTAGATAAAATATTGATACTTTAATAAAATTAAAAGACAAGACTTCATATTTATCACTTATATATAGTACTGAATATATTTATTGAAAACTTTAGCGGGATTAAGGGTAATTTTGCATTAAACATTTATAGACAGTACTAAAGATAATATATATTGGTAAGTTATAATATTTTAATAGTGGGTAAGGATAGTCTTTTAAACGAGCAATTAAAGCATTTCTTATTTAATTCCTATTAAAGAAAATATTAGATTCTTTAGAGATAATATACAATTTAATCTTTAAATTAGTTTTCTAAAGAAAATTTGTTTATTTATCTACATAAAAATACGTTAACACTTCATTATTTTATTTATATATTTTTGTTTTTGAAATATTTTATATTTCTTTTAAAATTAAAAAATTATATTATATAGAATTTATTGTATATATGCATTATATTTTATTTTTTTTATACTTAATAAATGTATATTTTTTTTAATTAAATAATAAACTATGAATTATCTTAAAATTATTATTATTATTATATTTTTTGTTTTATACAATAACTTGTAATCTAATAGCAATAATATTAAAATAAATATTTTACATTTTTTTAAATAATTAGTTAAGCAAATATAAAAATCTTTAAAATTTTTTTAATTTTAATTTTCACAATTATCATTATGAACATATAAACCAAAATCAACACTATCAATCATTATTTCTTTTGCATCATTTAAAGAAATGTCTTTATAATCCTCTATAATAAGTCTAATAGCAGTTTTAGAAACTAAAACTTAAGATAAGTATTGGGATAAAGATTACAGAATATAAAGATCTACAGTTAGTATTCCAGTTCGAATAAATAATTCAGTTAAAAATTTTAAGATAATCACTAAGCCCTTAAATCTATAATATCCAGGCTAAAAAAAATATAATTGATTAAATTATTCATATTTTTAAATAAATATATATTTCTGATTTATACTTACTTGTAAAGATTCAAATAATTAATTTGAATTAATGGATTGTTGACTTTTGATAATCCTATTTCTTGAATTCTATTAATTGCATTTATGCGATATTCACTATATTTTTGTCCTTTTATAATTTTTAGTAATTCTGATTTCAAATTTGTAATCTGATTAGATAAATTTGCAAAATTTATATATAATAGAAATCCTTTTCTATTTCCATAAAGAATAATTATTTCTTTTTCTTTATGAACTCGACAAAACTCATATTGTTCAATTATAGTATTGGTAGATACTGTAATATAAGTTTAAAATTAGACTATATTATATTATTAAAAGGCATTTATATAAAATTTAATATAATACATAATTTTTCCTATTGAAATATTATTTAAATATTCTAATACTTTCAATGGCAATAGATTTGATAATGTTTCGTTACAATATAGACAATTATTATTATTTTGATATATTTCTAAATAATTATTAATAAAATAATATATTAGAATAAAATATTTTTCATTAAATATAAATATAAATACACTTACCTAAGTTTGATTCATTAGAAAAAATATTAGATTCAAAAAACTGTAAAGATTGAATAGTAGGTGAAGAAGATAAATTTTGAATTTCATTTAATGGTTGTGTTACTGTATTTTGTACTATATAAGTAGATTCATAATTATCTAAATCAATTATAGATTCTAATATATTATTATTGGTATTTTCGTTAATTTTCTTCTTTTTTTTAGTTTTTCTAGTTGATTCTTCTACACCAGTGATTCTTTTATTAGATGGTCATCCTTTTTTACGAATGATTAATGGATTTTTTACTATTGGTATAATATTTGAATTATTGGATTGTGTTTGTGTTTCTTTTTCAATTTTAGAAATAAATACTTCATTAAAAGAAGTATAAAAAGTTATAGTCGATATAGGATTTTGCGTTACAAATTGTTGTATTTTTTGTAATAATTGAGTAAGCATATATTGATAATCTTAATTATTATTAGATAAAGTTGTTGTTGATTCTTGTAAAGTCATTAATAATTCTTGTAAAGTTGTAATTGTATTTGAATATAATCTAATATAATTATTAATAAGTTCCTTTTTACTTGGATTTTTTCTCTATCTTTCATAAAAAAGACTAGGTAGAAGTTCATTCAAATTTAGTTGCATTACAATTCTTAAAATATGCTAACATATAAAACCTGAAAATTGAGTATATTCACATATACATGTGAAATGATTAGAATTAGAATCATATTTTATTATTTGTCTATTTATTTCTTTTTCATATCTTTGAACTTGAAAAATTATTTCAAAATTATTTGTTTGGCTATTTATATTTAAGAAAAATAATCTTTAATAAAATATATAATTAAAATTATAAAATTCTATTAAAATATATTACTTTAAAATTTCTTTACATTTATACATAAATGATTGTATCAATTGTTTTTGAGTTTTTTTTAAAGAAAAAGTAGTTAAAATAGATGCTATTTGACGTTTCAAATGGACTTGTAGTTTTGTATATAATATTGTAATTATTTTGTTGGTATATACGAAATTCAGTTTTTTCATTTTGTGTATCTAAAGCTAATTAAAATGCCGTAATAAATATCACAAGTGATATACTTGCATCTAAATAGCCTTTCATCATATTATTCATAGATTCTTCATGTTGAGTTGTAGTCATATCTGCAATAAAAACATGATTATAACATGCAGCCCATTTTTCTTTTGTCTTTTTCATTCGTGATAAATAAGTTGATGCAGCTGGATAACATGTTTTAAGTGAATTCCATTGAGAAAGAAAACTTGAAATATCTATTTCTTCAAGATATTTATAAAGTTCTTTAATAAATGTTAACCAATTTGTACTAAGCTTTGCATATAAATTTTTTATTACATTTTTCATTAAATGCTATTGACATAAATGATGTTTTGTGCCAAATGGTTATAAAGTTTTTGTATAAGCATTTGCCATTACATGATCATCATCAGTAAGAATAACCAATAAGGCATGTTGATTGACTATTTCAAGAAATTTACTAAATACCCATATAAAATTATTTTCTGTTTCATTAATCATTAATGTACTAGCAAAATACACGCTATATCCATAATTATTTACTCCAGTAAAAATTCTAAATGGCATTGAAAACGATTGGTTTTATAAGTATTATCAAATACTACAATATCATTAAATCTACTATAATTCATTTTTTTATTGCAATACGAAGACACGAATAAAGGTAAAAAAATTTATTATGATGTAAATATAAATATATGTAGATCATGTATTAATATAGAATTTCTAAATTAAGTTACAGGTCTAGATTAACCAGTCTAGGTTAAGTTTTCTCTTCAAAATTTTATATAAATAGGTCAATTCAGGTGACTTTAATCAGGTGACTTCAGGATTCATAAAATAAATAAATTTTGTTGGAAGAAGTGACTTTTATATACAATTTATAATAAAGAAACCAAAAACAGGTGGTAGTTATGGTGCTACTATGAGATTTTGCTCCCAAATCCGATCATGGTACTATTACTGGACTTAAGCATGTAAATTAGAATCTATTAAACAAAAGAATCCTGCAAATCTTATTCTGATCTATAAAGTTAGCTGGTGTCGTTGCTATTCAGGAATTTGTATTATATTTTATATAAAAATAAGTTCATATTTGTATGATTTTTAATACTATATATTTATGAAAAAAAACCATACTATTTATTCATACTATATTTGTTTTGTTATCTATTCATTATATATCATAGATTAGAATTAGATTAGTTTATTATGAGGAGAAAGTATTCGAAATATCCTAAAAAGATATTGAAATGGTTTACTATTTAATTAACTTAATGAATCAATCACTTTTATCAATTTAACAAACGATTATTTATAAATATTAATATGATCAATAAATGATCAAAAATCATTTTAATAATTTTTATTAATTTTCAACAGAGAAAGAAATTCTATTAAAACATATATATATGAAGTAAACAATCCCGTGAAATGAATAAAAAATCATAAAAAAAAAAAAAAATTCTCTACTAGAAAATTAAACATCAAAAATTAATGAAAAAAATAAAATACAAAAAAAATTATAATCTTGTCCAATAAACATTCATAAACTGTTTTGATGTTACCAAATACATCTTTTCTACAAAAAACTACAGATTAATTGAATACAAATGTCTTCATTAAAATCGACCAGCGGAAATAGAGTAAATAATTATTTTCAAAGTTTTTTTTTTTTTTGTGGGGATGACAAATTGCAAAATAAGATAATAAATGATTACTTTGTAAATTCATTAAGTTTAGTTGAGGAAAAAAAAATACATTCTAAATAATATTAGGATTTTTGATAAAATAAATATAATATATTCCCTTCCAATTATTAAAGTTTTCCTTGAAGAATCAATTCTATACAGTTGTTAATATACTCCTTCTTTAAACTCATATCCATGCCAAAGTATTGAGATAAGTCATCACGAACTTGCTTCTTTGTAATTGACATTAGGTTAGCTGTTGATAATATATTTCGAATTTCTTGAAGAATTTCTTCATCTGAGGGAAAGTCGGAACCTTGTCCACCTTCTACCATACTAACAGGCCTCGACCCAAGTGTTGTAACAGCTCCATAAACATCATATTCAACACCACGCCCGATACCATACACGGATCCTCTTTGACTCATTTCAGTAGAATAATTACGAGACATTCTTGGATCATTACTGGCAAACGGAGGTGCAGGTGATCGAGAGCGACCTCTTCTACCACGTTCATCGTAATAATCACCGGCAACGGATCCAGCAGCGGATCCAGCTTTTTTAGCAGATCTACTACTTCGATGTGAACGATCCGAAGCTCTCGAATGTGCGGATTCTTGCGATCCTTGTGTACCAACTTCCCATAGTTCTTGTTCGTAATCTGACCATTTCTTCTTAGGTATGCT